TTTTATTAGCATCATTACTATTGTTACTATTAGTACTACTATCATTATCATTAGTGCTGTTATAGTAGTTATTATTTTTATGCTTATGATTGTTGTTGTTGCTCCACTACTGCTGTTATTACTATCATTATTGTTACTGTCATTCATGACACTGCCACCACCTTTACCATCCACAGTCAAACCCACTACCACCATTACCATTATCCATCACCACCATCATCATGATTATGATCATTACCACCTCAACCACTGTCACTACCGATTACACTTCATATACCGCCATCATCATCATTTCCACTACCACTACTGCAACTACCATCACTACAACTTCCACCACCACCACCTCCACTTTTTTGTCACTTTCCTATTATTCTATATAATTAGACACTATTTTTTTTATTATTATTATTATTATTATCTAATCATTATTTATTGTCATTAAAAAAAAAATGCTAAATATATTTCCAGGTAATGGATGGGATGAAGAACAGTGAGTCAAGCAACTTTGTTTTCAACGGTGATATTAATGCCCATCACAGGTCAGATGATGGAGTTCTCCCAGCTTTCAAGCGGCTGAAGTATGAAACATGATCACCTAGACTTTGTGATTGGTGTTATAGATAATGCTCCCCAAATTTATTAGAACTGCAATTTATATCATATTCTTTATCTATATTTTTAATGGATGAAATTAAATTATAATGGTATAAAAGTGAAAAATAATAAAATTTGATTATATAGGATATATCACATACTTTCATACAAAAAAGATTGAATCCAATGTCAAGAAAAGTAACGCAACAAAGAACTAGCATGTCTAGTCAGTATTATTGTATGCTTTACAGCATGAGAAGGATTCAGGAAGATTTCTTAAAATTCCCTAAGTAACAATTACATTGGAATCACTAAAAGAAACACACTAAAGATTCCAGTGTTTAGTAAAAGTTTATGAATCATTATTATCCAATTATATGAAAAATAAATTGATATTCGAAAACAGATTTTTCTAGTCATATTGAGTATGTTTTTTGTTGTCCAGTGTTGATCCAGTTTGCATCAAAGTCTCACTGATGGTGTGAATGCACTAGGTCCACATATTGTATTGCTAGATATAGTTTATGTTTTCATATTCCATGTGCCAGACAAAGTAGCAAGGAGAATTACTTACATGGTACTCTGAAACTTTATTACAAAAGTTTTGACATCTGAAAAATAGATTCCTTGTGAGTTTATAAACAATGATGACAAATTCTACACCCCAGGTAAACTCTCCTGTTAGTTGTTTCAGAGATGTTGTGCATTTCTATTTTTATACAAAAGGATCAACTGATAAGCATTGGGATGGTGCTGATGGCCATTACTCTTAGTTCTCTCTGAACCAGATGAGCTTTTAAGACATAACATGAAGTTGTATCATTAAAATAAGATATTTTTAAAGGCTATTCTCATTTTAATGAATAATAAAGCAGTTTTTTTTTACATTAAATATTGAATAAGCGATCTGATATTTGTAAATTCAGAAATTGGAAAGAAAGTGTATTTGAAATGTGTTGTGTCTTTATAGCTTAGAACTAAACACTCCGAGCCAAGCCACTCTTGTGAGTGGACTGGACAACAGGAAGGATCTGGCCCACTCACCTGGTAAAATGTGGCATTCTTCCTGTGTATTGTTGCTTTGCTCAATGTCTCCATCCAGCATGCAGGTCTCTTGAGGGAAGTGCATGAGGTTCTCTTCGAATCCCTTTTTTTCTTCTTTTTTGATGATAAAAAAACTTCGAGTTCAACAAGAACTACTGTATGTGTGTACACATGGGAATGCATACATTTATGACATAATTATACACCCTTAAATTACATATCCATACAAAGATATTCATATGTGATATGTTTATATTGTATATTGATGCAAACCCTTATGTGCTCATATAGACACATGTTCATGCCCATATGGACCCCAACTCACACACACCCATATGCACACCAATCTATAAACACACCATAACTGCCACACTCGCCAACACTCTTTACTTACTAATTCACTGCACTCCATATACACCCACATGTACACATACATATGTACACATGCACACATATATGCATGTTCACAAGTGCACACACACACACATGCACCCTTACAAGCATGCTCACAAACACACACACATGCACACACACACACACACACATACACACACACACACACACACACACACACACACACACACACACACACACACACACACACCACACACACACACACACATACACACACATGCACACGCACACGCACACACGCACGCACAACAACGCACACATATATGCATGTTTACAAGCGCACACACACACTCATGCACCCTCACAAGCATGCTCACAACACACACATCACATACACACACACACACACACACACACACACACACACACACACACACACACACACACACACACACACACACACACACACACACACACGCACACACACACATCACACACCACACACACA